CCTAACTGTTAATCGCAAATTCTATCGTCCAAATTTCTCATCTGTTTACCATGGCTTTTGAACAATTTGTTGTTCATCAATTCAATACTAATGATTAAGAATCTTTGCAACCGATGATGAAGATTCAACACAACAATCTCTGGTTAAATCCTTCAATCAGTGTGTAACCCAAAGAACTGCAAATGTTACTGCAAGTATTGAACAATATTGTTCTTGCTTTTGCATTATCTTCTTATTTTGCTATTATGTCCGATGAAATGGTTATCATTGGCTGTTTTTAACTGCTATTTATAACAAAACAACCAAATTTGTGATGTTTCAGTTGATGTCCAACAAGATAAAGAAACTTAACCAGAAGCAATTTGCTCAAATTCCAAAGTTACCTTCTACTGGTAAGTTTTATGAAGTTACCATTAGTCAAGCCATTCATATGTTTAATGAGATGGGTCATCAACCTACTCTTTTGACTATAAGTCACTTCAGGAAGTCCAATCTACCAGGTGTTTGGAGTTTTTTCTTTGGAATTATTCTACGATGTTTGACAGGACGAAGTTCAAGAATGGATAAAGCAAAGCTTGTGGTGTATTATGTTATGGTTGTGTTGTATTATGGGTTAAATGTTGATTACACATTAATGTTGTGGACAGAATTTGGAATTTCCATTTCTCATTCTAAGACGCCAGGAGTTTCGAGTGCTAAGTTTTGGGGATTGATTTTAATGGTCGTGTATATGCAAGATGGTATTCAAATTCCTTGTGATATTGATGTTGTTGAATTTGCTCCAATGACGATTCCTAAGAATACAATTGATGATGTTATAATTTTTACAGTGGTTGCTCAAGTTCCTTATTCGATGCTCAGCTTGGTGAAACCTTCTAATATCTTATTGATTTCATATCAAGCTTCTATGGATTCTAATCTTACTGTTATTCTTTCGCCAAGAGTTACTTCTCACAGTAGAGAGGAATCATCGAAAGTTTCGAAACCAAAGAAAAAGAAGGAGCCACTTGTGAAATCTATGACTATTGAATAAAAAGTGGTGAAGTAGATAGAACCCACAAAGACAGGAAAGGGGTGCTTAAGCGAACAAATAAGAAAACTAGTTGAGTCTATAAAACCAACAGAAAAACTAGTGGAGACATAAGCAAAGAAATTTGCTAAGGAGATTCATACTATTGTTGCTGAAACAATCACACAGGAAGCCAAAACTGCTGTTAAAAAGGGGTTTCAAAGAAATTTAAGAAGTTGCAGTTTACAAGGAGGAGACTTGTGATTCGTGAGGTTTCGTCTCATGGTTCTCCTACATCAAGAAAGAGGAATGCTTTAGAAGTTATGCATAAGTTGAAGAAGAGAAATCCTACCTCCCGTGCGGATCAAATGGAGAATGTTGTTATGGAATCCGACAATGATAGTGATGGTACTGATACAAAAATAGATGGTTCATTTCATGTTTCACCACAAAAGGATACCTTTGTCAAGTCGACTTTCAAGGAGACAAGTATTCCAAATTTTAATGCACAAGTATCTAATACTGATGTAAACATCGATTCTGGTGAGCAACAAAGTACAACAATCCATGAGAAGACAAACGTCACACCATCTGGTGTTTCACATACTGACTCCATTATGGAGGAGGTCGAAATTCCAGACATCACTGTGAACTTATTAGGTAAGGACACAAATATTAATATGGGTGAAGGGATGCAAACCACTGAAACATCAACCACAGTTACAAAAACTATTGAAACAACAACTATTTCACCACCACCAACATCTGCCACTCCACCTACATCTACTTCTCCGGTTTATCCTACTTTTGTTGGTGTGATGCAATAACCTATCACTACCTTATTCTCATCTCAACATATTGAGGCGGAGAAGACTGTTCCTGAAGATGAAACAGATAATGATGATATGATGGTTTTGTTTATTGACATGGAGTTTAATTCTAAAGAAGATGATGTACCTGATGAGGCAATTATGTTAGGTAAGGAGTTTAAAATTATCTATGGTAAGATGAATTCCATTCTTCAATTTTTGGGTCATATTGTTCGGAAGAACTCTATAAGTGGTGTAGCGGTTGAATACTTGTTGAAAGCTCAAGAGTCTCGTCTGAGAACTTTGATTGAAAATGTTGACAAGAGAAATGACGAGAGAGTGGAAAATCAGTCGCATACTTTTGATTATGAGATTTCTAAATTGGGAGATGTTGCAAAAGAACGTCATCAAATCTTTGAAAATACGGTGTCTGATTTGAAAGCTTCTCTTAAGTTTAAGCTTAACGAGCTTAAAGATTTGATTTCCAAAAAGGTTAAGAATTTCGATAACTACTATGTTTTGATGCATAAAAAGGTTGATGTAGTGGCAAGTGCAACAACTCGTTTAATAGAAGATCTTACTACTTTTAACAAATATTATTCTGATGCTCTCAATGTCAAGACTACAAAGGATGAAAAATTATTCCAGACGATTTAAAAGTTTATGTCTGATGTTAAAGAGACTTTGTCTAAAGTTGGTCTTTCGTCTAAAACTTCTATCTCTCAAGATTCTATTTCTACTATAGTTTCGACTTTTGAGTCGAATTTCAAAGAAGCGTTGGCTCCAATCGTGAATTTGGTTCTTCGCCTACCAACAAATGCTCCACGTTTTGCGCACATCTCACAACGGGGAGAAAGAGGTGTTGGTTCTTATCAAGGAGTTGGCGAAGATACAGGGGTAGTTGTGGGGAAATTTATGTCCGCTCAAATTCCTACAACAACAAGGAATGATTCTCAAGCATATATCAATTGGTCTTGATTGCAAAAGAAAGGAATTTTGATTGGTGAGGGAGGTTCGAGTTCTGATATTGTCAAAACAACCTCAATTGTCGATTTCAAAGATAAAGGGGAAGGTATACATGTCGAACCTTCTACAAAAGAAAAGAAAAGGCAACAAGAAATGGAAATAGAAAGTTAGAGGAAAGTGAGCTGTATAATTAATCAAAGGGTAAATGATCCACCAGGCATGAACAAGGGTGATCCTAACAAGACTTACTGTTATGATATTATAAAAGTTGTTGTGGTTGACAAGGTTGATGAGTTTATGAAGAAACCTAAGAAATGCAATGACATCGAGAACCCAGACTTCAATCAACTTGATTTTCCAATAAATCATCTAATGTTCACTTTTAGTCAGTTCAAACTAGCTATAAATTTCAAGGACAAAAAGAAATACAAAAGTTTGAAGATTCGATTCCATGCAGTCCTGGGTAAAAATGAAGAGGAGGTATGGTCTTTAGTGAAGATTGTAAGATTTGTCTCGATTATTCGTGATGTTTTGTTCGAGGGGCAGATACAAAATTTTTGTTATTCTGTTGTGCGAGCTAATAATGTAGCTTGTGAGTTTACAATGGTAGACTTTCCATTGATGAACATTAATGATCTCAAAACAATTTCAAAGATTTTGTGTGATGTTGATCCTTCCCAAATTGATGAAGATAAATGAAAAGCTTTCGTCATTGGATATTGTCATATTAAAGCCTTTATTGATTGCTACTATGATTTTTTGGCAGTCACATATATAGATCTTGCCATGGCAGTCAAAAAGACTTCAAAGGTGCCGAAATCTTTATTGAAGGTACGCAAGGATTTAAATACGTTTTAAGATGGAGAGATCATCCATAAATCATTTGGAGTTGTCTTCCAAGGGAAGAACAAAAGGGGAGAGTTGACAAAATACCTTTTCCATACAAATGACAATAAGAGATACACCAACACTCATTTTTCAAACATTCTACTCTGCATTAACAATTGCATGAAGAACGATAATGAATACAAAGTGGAGGTTCAAAAAATCATTTTGTGGTATATGGAGATCAGGAAGGAGTTACTATAGGTGTTGAAGACAATAGCTTGAAGTTTCGACTATTCTCACTAAGCAGAGATTGTAGAGTAGAAAGTTGTAGTGAGTAGTTGAAATTTATGTCTTTAGGTTTCGCAACTGTAAATAGAAAAAGATTAAGTACTTTCGTTATCATATTTATTTACAAGGCATTTTGAAGTTTCGCATTGTATTGTCAAGTCCTTGTATGTATTGGTCTCTGATGTCCCCTATAAACAGGGTAAGTACTTAGGTGTTAGGGTAAAGAACAATCTCAAAAAAAAATCTGTACTCTAAAACCTTTGTATCCTTCCAGACATAATCATAACTAAACAGATCTTATTTAGATCTTGGTGTTCTTTATTTCTTTCATCGATTCGATAGATTCAAACACATTTTTAAACACTCTTCACAAACTTTTAAAGTAAGTGTTGGGGCTGGATAGGAACGGACACCTAAATTGAGCATTGATGTGACAGTTTGATGGCATGTAGGCTTCTTCGTTGCCTACATTTAACAGCCACTTTGTACGTTCGTTTGAGTGGTTTCATTTCATCTCCTTATAAATAACTTCCGTTGCCTGGCTATTTTTATCACTTTCTGCAACTTTCCTCTTCCGATTGCTTTTTATTCTTCCTTCTTATTCTTAATTATTCATGGCTAACAAAGAGGTGTTGAACATTCGTATCATAAAATCTATAATTTCTCATAAAACTCTTGTTGATATTCTGAAGAAATATCATTTTGATACTGACTTTTTTCCTTGTCCTCCTCAACCATGGAATGTTATTGTTGATGCTCAGGAAGGTTTTGTTGGGGTATATCGATTATTCTTAAAATCGTGTTTGTGGCTACTGGCCTTTGATTTCCTAGAGGCAACCCTTGATTACTATCACCTTCACATCGCTCAGATTACTCCAAATGGTTTTCGAAAAACCATTTTCTTTGCAATGTTATGTTCTGTAGTTGAGATTGTGCCTTCTATCACCCTTTTTCATTACTTTTAGGTTCCTATGTTGAACGGTGATTGGGTGTCCTTTTCTCTTCGCCATGGCTTAGTAGAGATCTGTTATGCCCTTCCTGATTCCATAAAATACTAGAAGGAAGAAATTTTTGTTGGTTCTACTGCTTTTTCTAGGCCTATGGCGTGTGGTGCTACTACTGATAGGGTTGCTGACCCTTCTCCGGATCTGACTCCCGAAGAACAGATCACTGCAGATCTTTTATCGGAGAACTATGTGAAGTGGAATAATGTTGACAAAGTAACGTTGCAGATTCCATGCATGAGTTCTTACTTTATTAGCAGGCCATGAAGTCACTTTATTAAAACAGTTGCATCGTAAACGTTTGGCAAGCTCTGCTTGGGTTACCAAGGAAGATGCTATTTCTAATTCTCCTTCTCAATCTGAGTCTAGTATGGATTCCACGATGAATATTGCTGGTCAAGATATGCATATTCCCGTTATTCTTTCCCCTCTAAAAATGATGTGAAAACGGAATTGGGCAATAGAAACTCCATCCTTCATCTATTAGGGCCACGTTAAGATCTAAGAGCAAAGTAGTTGGAGAGGAAGTTGTTTCCCTTGAAGGAGTGATGAACCGCCTTGACAAAGTGATCGACTTGCCTTCTCGGAAATTTAAGAGGACCACTCATGGGAATGAATTAAAATCTCATGGGCTTCCGTCGTCTGGTGGCCAATCTTCTTCCAAGGAACCTGCATCTGAAGAAGCCGCGACAACTAATCTTCATGAGTGTCCGGTGGTTACTGATCTGGATCTGAAGCATGCCAAGGAAAATGTTCCTCCCTCTAAGGCTGAGTTCTTGAGCCTGATGCTTCTACATTTCCGACCATAGAAAACTAAAAATTTATGGAATATGTTATTGTGTCATCCAAGGGTCAGACCTCCTCTGTTCCGACTGTTGCAACTGTTTTTTCAACAGAAGATTTTTGGTGCTAGTGATGTCCTACTTCAAGTGTCTAATCTTCAGTCAAGAGTCATCACTATGAATCTCTCATTGGTTGGTTGGGGCCTTCCTTCGGGTTCAAATTTGATCTATGTGGAAACATCTAACATGACTCCCGATTTCGGGAATAATGCTTTGCTAGAGCTCGCTTCTACTACTCCTCCGAACACTTCGCAACAAATTGGTATGTTTCCTTTAATTCTATCTGATTTCATATGTATCTTGCTCTATATTCCTTTACGAAGATTTTTATTGTATTTGTTTAAGTACTTACATCTTCCCAGAAGCACCTTTTTATGCCTACCCTTGTGTCACTTGTTGCATCGCTTCCCCACTTCCAATGTCTTTTTTCTAAGACCTCAATTCCTGCAAGTCTTGAGCTTGCAAATGTATCAGATAAGGAGAGTCATGATAGAGCTCATACATGCCTGATGGAAGGGATGCATTTTCTCAATGAAGTTTCTGCTTGCACTCGGATTTGTGCGCAAATTCTTGCCTCGAAACAGTTACATATTGAGGAATTCTTTCAGGCTATGAAAAATTTGTGACAGATTCATGAGCAAGTGAAAGGACAAGCTCAAAGTTTAAGGAAAAAAGTGTCAGGATTGTATGATAGAAACTAGGAGTTGGTAAAGGATTTAAGCGAGAGTCTTCATCATCAAGAGGAGTTGTCGAATTTGAACTAGGATCTTCAACTTCGAGCGGATGATGCAATTAGTCAAAGTTATAAGTTGAGCATCGAACATGAAGAAAAATCTCAACAATTTGAGTCTTTGAAGCTTTAATATACTTAGAAAGTTTCTCAGCTGGAGATTCCTTGTTCGGGAAAAGACGTATGTATCAAATTACTTGAAGATGAGATATATGGTCTGCAAACTTTGGTTGCTGAGAAAGATGTTCAACTTGCATCTTTAGGTGAGTTTCGTGCTTCAATTGAACAAAAGGAATAACGGTATCAAGTAAAGTCCAATCATTAGGTTTCTGATCTCTAGTAGGTGATTAAATATGGGAATCCTTCGTTTCTTCAAGCGGTTATGAATCCTGATAATTTTGGGGACGTCAATGCTACTCTTCAAACTACCTGCATCGGGATAGGGCCTCATCAGGCATGTTTGGAGATGAAAGAAAAATATGTTGAGGCATTGGATGGAAAAAATGTCCTCCACTCTTACTCGTATGCTCAACGTCGTATTCTCGACCGCTTTTTGTATATTATTACTCATAAATATTCGTTATTCGGTCTTCTCGAAGGGGATAGGATTGATTTTGGTGTGCTAAGTAAAGAGTTGGCAAATTTGGATACAATCTTGAAGCGTAATTGTGCGAGTTTCATGTCTAGTTTGGGTTGTAACTTTCTATAATTGGATCTTTTTTATTATTTTGGTTGTTGATGGATGTAACGGCAACTAGTATTTTTATCTCCTCGCTTTTTTTTGTAAGAACATATGTGTTTGATATAATATAATGCCTTGTTTGTGTATGTGTGTTTTGGATTTTGTCGTAACCTCAAAATTGTAATCTATTTAAGAGTTATGATGATTTCTTTTTTTGTAACTGGAACGTGGATCGAACCATGATAAGGAGAATCATGTTGACCGAACCATAAGCTCGTAAGGTATGGTTCCTTTTATTAGAAGAATAGGCCAAACCATGATTTGACGGATCATGGTAACCAAACCATAAGCTACTAAGGCTTATGGATTTGTTATGAATGAAATACAGGTTGAACCATGATTTGACAGATCATGGTGACCAAACCATAAGCTACTAAGGCTTTATGGTTCCTTTATGAAAAGGTAGGTCGGACCACGATTTGACGGATCATGGTGACTGAATCATAAACTACAATGGATTTATAGTTCTTTTATTAAAGAAAGGGTCAAACCATGGTTTGACGGATCATTTTGACCGAACCATAAGCTACCAAGGCTTTACGGTTCATTTATGAGAATATAGGCTGAACTATGATTTGTCGGATCATGGTGACCGACCCGTAAGCTACTAGGTCTTTATGGTGCTTTTATCAAAGAGAGGATCGAACCATGGTTTGAGGGATCATGGTGACCGAACCATAAGCTACTAAGGCTTTATGGTTCTTTTATGAGAGGATAGGTCGAAACTTGATTTGGCGGATTATAGTGACCGAACCATAAGATACTAAGGATTTATGGTTCTTTTATGAAAGAAAGGGTCGAACCATGGTGTGGCGTATCATGGTGACCGAACCATAAGCTACTAAGGATTTATGGTTCTTTTGTGAAAGAAAGGGTCGAACCATGGTTTGACCGATCATGGTGACCGAACCATACACTACTCAGGATTTATGCTTCCTTTATGAGAAGATAGGTCGAACCATGATTTCACGGATCATGGTGACTAGACCATAAGCTACTAAGGTTTTATGGGTCTTTTACGAGAAGATAGGTCGAACCATGATTTAGCGTATGATGGTGACCGAACCATAAGCTACTAAGGCTTTATGGTTCTTTTATGAGAAGATAAGTTGAACCGTGATTTGGTGGATCATGGTAACCGAACCATAAGCTACTAAGGTTTTATGGTTATTTTTTATAGGTTTATCGATCAAAGATTAGAATATCATTTGCAAATTCATAATAAATTGGCATACAAAAGATGATTATCTCCTTAATGCTATTGGTACTTTTCTCGATCGAATATCAAAAGTGATGCAGATTATTGTTGATATAGAAATGGAATTTGTGGAGGTTTCGCATGTCCCATGTTTTTGGTAATCGAACTCCCTCCATGTTTTCCAGTATGTATGAGTCATTGCTTATAGCTTCTACCACTCGATATGGTCCTTCCAAATTTGGATTTAACTTCCCGATGTGCTCTTGTCTGGTTACATCGTTCTTCTTGAGGACCAGATCCCCCACCTTGCATGTCGTACTTTTGACTATGGCATCATAGTATCTCTATTATTGTTTTTGTAAGCAGCTTTTCATATGGATGCATCGACTCGTCTTTCCTCTAGCAGATCTAATTTTTCGTGTAGGGTTGTACTATTTGCGCTTTCTTTTGGAGCTCTGCTTCGAGTACTCTGCATTGTTGTTCCTATGGGAATGACCTCTTATCTTCCATACATTTAACTGAATTGTGTTTTTCCTTCGTTGGAGGTTTCACTGTTGTTCGGTAGGCCCATATCACGCTTTCTAACTCATCGACCCAATTTCCTCTAGCTTGCCCTAATCGTTTCTTTATTCCTTTAACCAGAGTCATGTTGGTGACTTCCACTTGGCCATTCGCCTAGGGGTGTTCTACCGAAGTGAAATTTTGTTTGATTCCTTTTCCAAACTCCATATTTTGAAGTGGTTTTCTGGAATTTGTTTCCCACTGTCACTGATAACTGTATGTAGTTGACCAAAACGGCAAACAATTTTTTTCCACATGAATTTTGCCACGTTATTTCCATAGATTACCGCCAATGCTTTCGCCTCGACCAATTTGGTAAAGTAATCTACGACTACAATTAAGAACTTTACTCTTCTTGGTGCTTCGAGGAAACGTCCCACGATGTCAATTCTGGATTGAAAGAAGGGCCATGGGCTAGTAATGTTTGTCAAGGCCATTTATGGGATTATCGGAATGTTCGACTGTATCTGACATTCATGGCGTTTTTTGATGAAAACCTTTGTATCGGTGGTCATTGACGGCTAGAAGTGTCCTATTCGAAGTATCTTTTGAGTGATTAATGTTGATCTCGATTGTTCTCCACATATACCTGCATGTATTTATGTTATAACAGGTTATGCTTCTCTTTTTGTGATACACTTCCACAATGGGGTAGAATACCCTTTCCGATCTAATCAGTCTTCATACATGGGATATCGTGTTGCGTTGATCTGTAGCTTTCGAGACTCTCCAATCATCTGCAGAAGAAGTTCCTTTTGTAAGGAAAAGGCTATATGGTGTCATCTAGGATTCTTCTTCTTCAGTTATTTCCAAAGTTTATGTGATTGGCTCTTCGAGGCTCCTCTTTGTCAATATCTCAACTAGCACTCTTTTTCTGAGATGGCTAAAACCCACCGATGCTAATTAGCTTAAACAATTGCCTCTTTGTTTTTTGCTCGTGGCACTTGAGTGATCTCAAACTTTTAGAATTTCTTTGCCCATCCTTTTGTCTGGCTTAAGTATTTCTACATGTGATTTTCTTTCGCTTCATACTCCCCGTTAATTTGATTGAATACTAACATAGAATCATAGAATACCTTTATTTTTGGGATGTTCATACTTCATGCCAATAGTAAGCCCACGAGCAAAGCTTTCTACTTCGCCTCATTATTAGAACATGAAAATTTGAACCTTATTGCATAAGTTAGTTTTTCTCCTTGTGTGTTGACAATGATGATTCCAGCTCCCGAATAGTCTTTACTCAAAGGCTTCATCGGTATGTAGTATCCATTCCTATGACGCCTTGTTTGTTATAGAGGTTCGTTCGGGTGCTAGCAGTTGGGTTTCTTTCATATGTGTCAGCGTCTGATCTTGATCTTCGGGTATTTCTGTTTGAAAGTCTTCCATAGCTTGACCTTTAATACTAACTCTTGGTTTTTAGTCGATGTCATGCTCTGCCAGCTTGATTGCCAATATAGTCATTCTTCATGACCTTTCTGGTTGTGTTAGTATTTGTCTGATCAGTTGGTTTGTCAGTATCCGGATCGAGTGGGCTTGGAAACATCGACGTAGTCGTCTACGTGCAAAGATAAAATACAAGACTAACTTTTTTATTATAGATAATTTTGTTCAACTCCTTGAAACGCCCTACTTATGTAATAGACTGGAATATGTTTCTTATCTATTTCGGTTACTAGAACTCCACTAATTACTTCCTGACTTGCCGATAAGTATATGATCAGTGATTCATTGGTAACACGACTTGCCAACGTTGGAAAACTTAAGAGATGATGCTTGAACTTCTGGAGTGCTTCTTCAGCTTCTCCCAACCAATCGATATTGTTCTTCCCTATATGCATCTTTAATGCTTCAAATAATGGTAGGGTCTATTCTGCTGACTTCGCCAAGATTCCTTCCTACCGCTGGTAGCTTTCCATTCAAGCTATGTTTGTCTTTCACTGTTTTCGGTGTCTGCGCCTTCAGTAACGCTTCTACATTCTCTGGATTTGTTTTTATTCCTGTCGTGCTAATGGCATGACAAAGGAACTCTCCCTTTTGCATCTTGAACATACATTTCTTAGGATTGAGTTTCATATTGGTTCGTCGTAGCTGCCTCAGAGTCTCCTCTATGTCCTTTCGGAAATCGTCATCACCTTTGCTTCTAATTACCATGTCATCCACATACACATTAATGTTCCTTCCTATCTGTTGTTCAAATACCTTATCTAGCAATCTCTGGTGTGTGGCCCCTGCGTTTCTTAGTCTGAGTAGCATCTTTGTGTAACATAAAGTTCCCGTCTTCTGATGGAAGGTGGTTTTATCTTCATCTTCTATTGCCATTTTCTCCTGGTGGTATCCTTTATAAGCGTCTAAAAAAGATTTCCACCGAAATACACACAATTACTCAATCTTCTGC